TCTCCAACGACTGCCGTTGTGGCGCCTGCCACCACCCACGCAAGTGGGAAGTGTGCGTGTTAACTCGGTGCCCGTGCGGCTCCTGTTGCAGAGGTGAATCGAGTCTGAGACCATTCCGACACGTCAAGCGCCTTGGATAAGAAGACTGCTGTTTGACGCTCCAACTCGGTCCACGCATTCCGTCCAGTTGCGTTTGTGCTGAGCGGCGTATTGGTGGGTACAGCTCCGTCCACGCACTCTTACGCATATGAGAGATATGCTGCTCAACCTCCGCTGAGTAAAATCCTTGTGCATGCGTGTGTCTGGGGGACTCAGGTCGTGCATATGTCGCTCGCAGACAAGGTCACTAGACCATGCCAGCCACCGGGCCCATCTCCGCTACAGTCAGCTGATCGGCTCGGACAAGGGCTGAGGTGTGGAGATGGGAAGGGAGAGTGAGGTCGACGATTCGGCGCATTTTCCTCACGACAAAAAATCCGACGCACTTGAAGCTATTGCGGTGGATAAAAAGCCGTGGCATGGAAGGTTATCAACTAACGGCAGATCTTGGATCTAGCAGTCGGCAAAGTGTTGTATTTGCTGAGGCGGAGTGGTCGGCCGGTGGTCTGAAAGTCATGTTGCAATGGCTCCTTCTTACTGCGGCCTTTATGACATTCCCATTGTGTTAGATCAGAACCGGGCATTGGCGGCACGTCTAGGTGCGGCTTAGACCGTGCCAAACTCCACTCTTCTTCTTCTTCTTCTTCTTCTTCTTCTCGTAGTTGGCCAAAATTCTGGTCAGGCCTTGTGTAGACCAGGGGTGCGGAGGCGAGTGCCTAGTTGCGGATCCGTGCAAGCCACCCAGCTGCGCCTTTGCCCATCTCCGGTCTTCTAGACAATGTCTTGACACTGTGCCCAGATGTGATAGGGGTAGAGAGTGTGACAGATGTAAACACCTGCGCGAGTCACCGTTCTGTCCCACCTTGCCGGGAAGAACACGGTCAACACCATCGAAACCGACGGTCGGACTCATTTGTGAGTGTACCATGCGCCATTCGTTGGGGTCACATTCTTAAAATCAACTGGAAATATGACTTTCTGGTGAGCGAGAACATCCGCGTATCTGACAGCCGCGGCTTGTTTTTTAGACTTTTCAGTGATTAGGGTGCAGCCCTCACTACCAATGAAAACTTAGTTCATATGAATCTTAGCATCAGCAATTTCTTAAAAACTGTGGTACGTAACACAAAAAACCACTGTTATCTGTAGGCTTGCAGCAATGCTGCAACAGACAAACCTTAGTCACACATTGTACAAAACATTTTCTTTTTCATATTGTACCCTGACTTCCTCACAGGCCTCTCACGTTGCGACCATCCAAACTCCTTACTCCCGGAATGTCCAATTTGCATTCGCCTATTGCGCATCACGTGATGTAAAATGAGTCATTCTGGCATACACTGCTCGAAAGCTGTGATAAATGTAGAGCAGCCGATTGGTCCTCCTATTCCATATGGCATTGTCTTTGGAGGGTATCCCAATTTGTAATAAATTAATTATAAAAATTAATATGAATAATCCGTCTTACATCTTCAGACTGTTTGCTCATCTGAAATAATGACTGAGCTTCTTGCAATAAAATGCATTTCATCATTAATTCCAGCTTTTGGATATAAATGTCTAGTTCCGAAATATTTTTTTACCTGTTCATGTAAATGTTACGTGTTGGATTTTATCACATGTTCGCGTTTGATGAAGGCGAGGAAATTAACGTCATATAAGAGGTTCTTCTTAAATCCACTCATGTTTAACCACATTGCATATTCCCAAGTCCTTTGGTTTCCCGGAAAGACGGAACTGCATACAGATGACTGAATCTCAGTAAAAGCATACTTCCACATACATCATCTGTATTTGCATTCTGGTACTGTGGCCTCTAGCACAGACAACTTAAACAACTTGTATATGACTTCGTTCAGGCCATTTTCTTACCCATTAAACAGCAACTGGACACCATTGCAGTTGTTGCAAATGTTTTGGTCAGACCAGGTAAATAATCATGGGAAGAACCCCTTTTAGGCAGACGGCTTTATAAAAATTGAAAGAAACTGCCATGTTTCACCTCAGTCTACCCCAATGCGTAAGCTGTGTGCAGGCGACACTACGCACCAGAATCGATTGCTGAAAAAATGTTTCATGCGTGATATTTTTCCACCCAAAATCATAGAGTGCGCGACCTGCGAACTCAGTCGCGGTAGACAGGCGCTTGAAGCGTTGTAAATGGATCATTGTGGAGTTTCATATTTTTCGGGGGGAAATTACCACACTTAATCTATGTTTGAAGAGAAGACATGTAAGAAGGTTGCAATTTGTTTTTTATAAACGAATGTCATCCCTGCCTGCACCATAACATGACTGTCTTCAGGTAAATTTCCGAATCTAGCGTGAAAGTCTAAATGGTATCGCTAGTAGGGTTCCAAACAACTTGCAGCTCGGTTTCTGTGTAAAACGTGGTTGGCTTGATGTGAAAAGTTGAAAAAGTGCCCAACCAGCCACTTTTTGTTTTTCTTTTCAGAAACTGGTTTTGATGGGAAAATTGTGAACGTTATAAGCGAAAACTAGGCACAAAAACTGAGTATACGCATCGTTTTCTCAGCATTCGGATATGAAGCGTTAGTCTCCTGTAGTATATGGCTGCACTTTTCTTGTGGCCACTGTAAATGGTCTGTGCATTTCTATGGGTCAAATTCAATTCATTAATTTTCTTATTTTCCTCAATATGTGTTACCAAAGAGAGCACGTTTCTTCGTTCCGTCGCAAAAACCAAAACTTACCATTCTTTTGGGACTTTAATTTCCCGCCACTTTGCAAGTTATTGCCTTGCTTCTTGTAGAATCCAAATTAGATGAAAGATTACTATTTCACTGCCCACACTCCAAATTGCAACCTAATGTATTTACCCAGAGACGGAGAAAGGCAACTGTTTAGCTGTTTTGCTGATGTCTTCAACTGCAACATAAAGCGTCGTTGTGGTAGTGAATAATCATATAACTGATGGGCGATCTCAATGAATGTTGGTCAGTTGTCGACAAATTTGAATTGCACTACTGATGATCACACTGCACAATTTTGAAATATTTTTTCACGTCAAGATGCGGGCTTTTGAATTAGCGAGTTTTTGGCCGTCACGTAGATCTTAGAAACAACAGGTCGTATGTATTTTATTAACATATTATCTCATTTTTTCTCTATGGATATTAACCTCGTCTTAAAATATGGCTGACTTAGAACCAAAAGACTCCAGGGCTTGTTAATATACTTTAGGGCATGAAAATATGACTGAAAGCTTAATGACTACCGACCCTTTACATTCCGAAAAGTTTCAGGAACGCTGGCTTTTGGAAACAAAATACTGGAAGAAGAAGCTCGTTAGCCATGGTATTATAAATGGATGCATGATCACACACATAGATGTACACGGCTGATGTGCTTACTCATGAAATTTTAACCGGAATTGAGAAATGCCTTTTCGAATCAAACAGGTTACTTAAGTAGTGTTTACCAAACTAACTACCTCGCAGTATCATTCCATAATCATTCCGTCCCCTGACCATGACGTCTTACGAATGGGCTTTCTTACGTTGATCTGCAAAATGCACTCAGTAAAAATGACACCGTGTGCAATGCAAATTGCTCTAACTGAATTTTGATGTCTTTTTATATTGAGATCTATTTCATAGTTATCATGCATAAAATTATTCTTTCATTTACCGAGTCGGTAGAAAAGTACGTCTTCTTTAAATTACATACTGAAGGGAAGGGTAAAATTTAGTTGGAAAAATAATTCTTCGAGGTAGATTTTTCAAGTCTTTGAAATGTCCTATCGTAAAGCATCGTTTTCCTGCTTTTATTAATGTTGCTTTAAAGTTTACAATATGCCTCTCATCCACTGTTAAATTTCACAAAAACCATAAAGTCTTCTCTTTATAGCGCAAAGACATATATGATTTTCCGTACACGGAAATGGGTTCAAAATTATTCGGGAATTGTCGAGGTCGTTAAAACCCGATTATACACTTCACCCAAGAATGCAATATAAATAAGACTTAATTTGGTACCAATTAAGTAAAAGGAAGAGCATTGTTCTACACCTTTTTATAAAATATATTGGTCGCACGTGTCGGCGCTTATCCAAGAGAATACGGGAACACCTTCCGTCATGGTTGGGAAAAGACGAAACTAGGAGCATAAGCAACGCTATTCCCGCGCATGCTGTCGATCCCGGAAATCACGTAGACCCCAATGAAGCGTTTCGTGTGATCTACAAGGTCCCATTGAGCTATCCTAAGCCACTGGGACAGCGTCTATTTGCAACAGCAGAAGCGGCCGCCATCAGGTTGCGATAAACAGTCTTGTGCGCGAGGAAGATCCGCGTTCAGGCTCTGCGCCTACATTGACCGAAGGTCGACTGACGCTGTAACTCACACCGCGTCCTTCCGCTCTCACCCGGGCCCTGACCAAGAATGCTATAACCCCTCCCCCTCCCTCACATTCCCACACCCAGCCTGTGTTTTAGTGTGATCTTCAATCGATTTATCCTATCACTGACGTGTTTTGCTTCTACCTTCGTCCCATATACTTGCACTGACCCGACAAGAATTTATCGAAAGCTACGTATGCCCGCCACCTCGTCTTCCAAATATATTTGAATTATAAGGGCATCGATATTCTACAGAAAAAGAGTACATTGCTTATGTAATCATTTTTTATGGAAAGGAGTTTACGCAGGCAATTGATAGAGTTGAGAATTCAACCAGCATCCTGACAAGAAGATAAGGCCCACAACCCATCTTGAATAACATTTTCGAATCGTAAACGCATCACAGAATTTTGAGTAACATTCCATGATTTAACACATGTACATACGTACATACATACATGCCTACTTGCATGTATACATAGCCAAATACAAACAAAAATGCAATGCTTAAGCACCTCATTAAATGAAAAGCAGGCCAGTCGCTTCCGGCCTCTTGCAGTTTTAGTGAGCTGCGTATATATATAATATGTGGTATGTGACCAAAGGCACAGCATTCGTCGTCACCTCTAACAAGCCGACAGGCAGACGAAATGGTATTAAGTGGGAAACTAACCACAACGGTAAGAGTTACACACCTAGCTGACACGCGTACATACGTATACTTTGCATTTCGTCTTAAGCGACCTAATGTCTATAGGCACATAAAGTATATGAAATTTCATTAAAATACATGTACACGTGCATAACTGTCGTCTTCTGATGACTGGTGAAAGCTTTTGCCATTGAGCCCGGCTTTCCAAAGTTCTGCGGAGTTTCTGCCGTGCAACGATTACAAAAAGTGGAAGCAAAGATGATGAAAACTCGCGCAACGCCCCACAGCTGGCCCTGGCATGTGAGTGGATGTTTAGTATTGCTTTGATCGTTCATTAATTAAATGATCATCGATAGTATACTAGCAACCTCAATTAAACGCACCTCATGCAGTTTGCAAGAAGTCTTTTTGCTAAGTCGCTGCATTAAAAAACAGGGTCATATTCGGGCCCCAATTACAGAGATAAAGCTTCGGTGCACTATAAAGTAGGGTCATAACCGTGCTTTATTATTCAGGTTCCAATGACAGAGATAAGGCTTCTTAAACGTTTAGATAACTGAGTGCCAATAGCCAGGTGACACTGTTTTCAAACATTTAGTTCCACGTATATACAAACACCATTGGGTGTTATGCAAAAGATCATGACTGAGGATGCTGACTTGAATGCCTAAAATTTATGACATCTTTCAAGGTGGGCCTGTGGTCGGAAAGAATAGGAGAACGGCCCTTTTGCGGGGGAACACTGATCAGCCCCTCCATCATCGTGACCGCGGCACATTGTGTTGACAATGCCATTGGTTGTAGAAACACTCCGTTTGAAGGATTAATTGACATGACAATTACAACATATTCCCCGTTATATGCGCTAATCGGTGCTCACGACTTCACGCGGGCTGACAATCTTTGGCATCTTCGACGTGTGCAGTATGCCGTTCTGCATCCAAACCACAGCGAAGTCGCGCTTGGAGAGGGCTATGACATCGCGGTACTAAAGCTATTCGAACCCATTATCCCAAGTACGTTTTTACACTCGTGAGTAAATATATTTAACGGATATATTTTTGAATCCGGCGCACATTACCATGACTCAGCCAATTTTACTACATAATTGTGCCTTCTGATCAAATAGTGAACTGCGGCCACTTACATTTGATCATCAGCTCTCATGCCTTCTTGCTGATTATTCTGGCGTACTTTTTCGATAATATGCTTCCTCCTGCGATATGTGAGGCGTTCTAGACTGTCTCCGTTAATCTGAATGTCTTTTTTTTCTCAAGATGACATAGTGCGGCCGATTTGTTTTCCTGCCAGCCACGTTGTACTGCCGCGAGGCTACGAGTGCTTCTATGCCGGCTGGGGAGGTATGTATCCCGTCTGGTCCAATGGCGCACAAGTCTTTCCAAAATCGCTCAGAGAAGCTGAAGTTCAATTAGAATCAGATCAGTACTGCAAGAACGTCTACGGCACTCAATATGCCGACAGCAATTCATGCGTTTATGCATACGGCAGGGTAAGCACAACCGCGAAGACAACGCTGACCGAATTTGCTAATAGTTCTTTAGCAAAATCTCAGTTCAGTTCTGTTGAGTTCAGTTTATTTGAGGTAAACGTAGGTGGTGAATTTGGCAGTAAGTTGTACTTATTTGTCACATAGGCATTTACCGTGTTCCTCAATGTCGTTGGATTCTCACTGTGCATGCGAGTAGTTTAATCCGACACAGAAAAAAGGCACGGCTGACGCACACACACACACACACTTTAACTCTTGCTCATCACTGCTTATGCCATAAACACTTTGTTGGAGTCTGAATAGCTCGACAGGCATGTTGAATGATGACATAAATAATATCACTGCTCTTAGGCTTTCTGGTCAACGCTCCATGTTTTGGATTGTGATTTTGGAAACTAAGCAAACGGTCTTAATAACCCCCTTCGAATTTTTTACATTTCAGTTTAGCTAAGTCGTGAAATGCAAAGCGAAATTCTGAAGTGCATTCTCGACTCAAAATAATTGCCTGAGTAGGTATGTTATATAAATCGGCGTGCAGTTTAATCTCAAGACAATTCAACTAGGTAACGATATGCCGAAGGACCACACTTAACTGTCCGTAGACTCTGAATCGAGTCTAGTGTGAATGTTGCTAATGTGGATTTTATGAAATGGGCAGCACGTTCGACGGCGGACTGATGAAATGCAAGAAAACACAGAAATTGTTCGGATTCTTACCAAAGTTTTATCCTGCTCTTTTGTATAACGACAGGCCTGAGCGCGTTAGTTAAAAAAAACGGAAAATATATTTTTGTAAAAGCGGCGTCTGAGTAATAGTTTAAGGTCACGTGAGGTAACTGTTTTTGGCAGTGTAATATCTGCAACGACCTGCGAATGGATTCCAACGTCAAACTCCGAGTGGCACGACAGACACGTGGGGTCCTTCACCATACCGTTACCGTTACTTCAGGATTCCGACATTTCAACGAGTTTGTTTTCGGCCGCAAGTAAAACTGTCTAATTCTGCAGAATGAATTTTTCTTATTGATTCTCCATGCTCATGTAAATTCAAATAATTTTCATAGAAACCCGCACAAAAATGCCCATTGTTTTGCACATTTAAAAGAACATTATGTTTTCCTCAAAGTATATACTTGAAGCAAGCACAAAAAAACGTTTTCAATTCCCGAATAATTTGTAATCTGACCTTTTAATACACTTGCATTCAGGTTTTCCAAAGTAATGGTTGTGCATTTTTTGTTTGCGGAAAATCATGCATTTTGATGAACCACTAAGAGCTGGGGTCTACAAACGGAGATTTCACGGTCTTGAAATATTTCACAATCAGAAACATTTTTAAAACCGAATTATTCCGTTTTTTAGGCGTAAAATTGGAAGCGATTTTCAAATTGGTAAGACAACAGACATGCTTATGCATGTTTTCTAGAAAAGTTATTGGGATGTATAAAGGCATGGAAAACCAATAAGTAAGACATTCATTTTGTAAGGTAGTTATTTTTTTACAGAGCAGAATTTTCGCAGGTGGCTGGAAAGGCGTTCGTTCAGAAGCTAGCATCCTGATGTAAGTGAAGTACTTAGGTATTATGTCGTAAGGTGATTAGTAGTACAACCCTAACTAATTAATCTTCTTGATTCGAAAACCTATTTCAAGAATTCAGTAGACATTTCTCGAGCTAGCACATTCACTTGAAGCGATTTCCAAAGAGTAATATTGTCGTATTGACAATCTGTTCTAATTGTTTTGTGTGCTTTAGACCCCAGGTAACGGGGACAGTGGCGGTGGACTGTTCTGTCCTTCTCTGGATGGCCGAATCTGGTTCTATTATGGGGGATTCGAGTCCGCACCAGTTAACCCATCCGTGGCCTACTCGGTTATCACCAAACTTGAGTCGGTCCATTATTGGCTTAAACTGGTTTCGATTACTCTGGGTCTATAATATGTCACCAATTGAGGTGTTGGACTTAATAAATATAAAAATAACATTCGCAGTACTTTTTGTTCATATCTTGTTGTCAACATTTAGCGAAACACCAGCCGCTATAGTTTTAGTCTAACGGTGACCACAAGTCACAGTTGGTGAAACTAGAAATCGATTCTTCAATAAAGTAAAGATCCTAAAATTGGTATTGTGAGTGTAACTTGGCATTTACAGTGGAAAGAGTGTCGTGTATATAGATTCGCAGCGCCCTGAAGATGATGCTGATGATGATGATGATGCTGATGATGCTGATGATGATGATGATGATGATGATGATGATGATGATGATGATGATGATGATGATGATGATGATGATGATGATGATGATGATGATGATGATGATGATGATGATGATGATGATGATGATGATGATGATGATGATGATGATGATGGCAAGTACGAGTTTTCGAGACCTTTTATTACTGGCGCCATTCATGCGTAATTACAGAAAAAACCCTGCGTCCTGACAAATACGGCCGGCGGTGCTCTCAACTTTTCCTCCAAACGTCTGTAGTGTACTTAGTTTCAATAAGTAGAAACTATTTTATCCCTCGACGATGCGGGAGATGCAGTGTTGTACATTATGCCTTTAATCGCGTGTATACTTTGTATTCAAGAGCCATGCTGACTGCAGTGCAGCTCTGCCGCTACTGAAATTAATAATTGTTAAAAGAGATAGTTGGTTCTGACTAGTTAACTGTTGTCAGGTGGGCTTGCCCCATACTCGGTTTTCACTGACAGAGATGGTATTTGTTTTCTTTTTTCATCATGAGTGCTTCGCAATAGCAACAGGTTGGGCCTCAGGATAGAACGAAATCGGCGTGTCCCGATAGAAACTGGGGTAATGAGCAACTTTCCACATTAATTTTCATTTCTAACCATGATCGAGGAGACAGCAAGCTTAATACTCGTCATCCGTCTAAGGATGCCGAGACGGAATGTCGTCGATGTGAATATTTTTATTCGCGCACCGATGGCCGGGACACGTCTACATGGAGGAAGCTAAAGGGACCAGGATTTTATTCTGATGCATTCGGCGACAAATGTTTAAAGAATAGAATATGGCGGGACTTGGTTCAGCAGTCTCTCTTGATTGGTACCATATGGTTTGCTTCCAAGAACAATCTTGGTAGATGAAAAGATGCGCTGAAAATCAAATGGGAAACATTTGCTTAAAGATGGATGAACTAGAAGGTCACATTTGTCAACAAGAGACTGTTCTTGGCATCTCGACAGGAATAGAAAAACTATAGGAATAAAATACAGACAGGCAAAGAGATCATTACTCCTTCAACGGATGCACGAAATGAAACCACAATCAGGGCTTTCAAAGGACCCAGATGAGTTTGCGCATAATTATTCTTCTACGGTTCTCGAGTAAACATCGTTTCAAGCATTGTCTCTTGGTCCTAAGTTCTGCATGCCTCGTCGAAAAACCAATTTGCTAGGCCCAGAAACACAGTTCGAGAATCTCTGGAGCCAGACGTACGATTTAAAACTCGCATCTATAAATGATTTCCAACACTTGAAATCAACACTAGTGAATTGCACTTATCAGTACCTAAACAAAAAACACAAAAAGTCGGGTACTGCTGACAAAAAATCTTATGCATAGGTTAAACCAGGTAAGATAGAACAGAAATATTTTGGTAAAAAAAACGGAAAAAGGAACAGGTGCGGTTATAGCAAATAGGTCGGATTATGTGGCAAAAATAGAGTTCATATTGTCAAATTGAAAGCAATTCAGGAAAGCTGACATAGAGAAAGCTTTCAATGACGAAGCAGAAGCACAACTAACGGACTGTTTGCGCAGACTCCATGTAGGAGGCTTCATAAACGATCGCGAACTTAAAAACCTCCGTTTAGTAGGCACGAACATTCGTCGATTGTATGGTCTACCAAAGATCCACAAGAATGGTCTACCAGTTCGTCCGATCTTGACATGCGCAACTTCCCCTATCATGCGATAGCGAAGTAGTTAGCAGAGAAACTCAAACCTCTACAGTACCAACTGACGCCGCATAGCTACAGGAATATCTTCGGATTCATCGAGGGCGTTAATGACGTAAACTTAAACGATATAGTGATGTATTCACTTGGTGTCTCGTCACTCGTCGAAAATGTTCCTATCACGGAGACAGTTGAATACATATGTGGATTCCTGTCAACCAGCCAAAATTACATAGGTATTCTGACAAGCGCACTCAAGAAACTAGTACAAAATGCACAAAAATATGTTACCCCTTTTTGACAAACAAATATATAGACTAATAGACGGAGTTGCTAAGGGATCGCCTCTTGGTCCTTTCCTAACCGATGTCTTCATGGCTAAGTTGTAGAAGTGTCAGGTAAACAGCAAAATCAACAACCTGAGGCATTACAGTCGCTACGCTGACATCTTTGCAATTGCCACCAGAGAAACCGACATAACCGCCATCTCGGATACTCAAAGTCAAGCATATTCATCGATTAGGTTTACGTTAGAGGTGAAAAGGGTAAACTTTTGTATTTCCAGACGTACTTCTTAGCAGAAAAGCTGACAGCACCATGTGAAAAAGCGTCTGTCGAAAGGACACTTGTTACGGACAATATATAAACTTCTACAATCTTACACTCGTTCAGCAGAAACGTGATCTGGTCCACTGTTTGGCGCAAAGGATTAGAAAAATTCGGTCAGTAGATACATTGCGTGACCGATATCATGAAATGTCGGCCGAAATTCTGAAATGTATTTTCGATTAGGAAGGATTACTTAGGTGGGATTGTAATACTGATTAGAATGCAGCATATTCCAATAGCATTTTGGAATCAGCAGGAAGTCGGCCTTTGGATGCACTCCTTGCTGACCTTCTGCAGAAACCGCGATCTGCAAAAAATGACTACATATGTACCACGTATGTTTCGTATTGATTTTCGATGGTCTCACAAATTCAAATACACTTTATAGAAAACGTGCACAAAAATATGCCATCTTTCACTCTTTTGGTAGAAACTCACACTGTATTCATATGTTATACTTGAAGAAAGTGTATATTTAGGTGTTCGGTCCCGCAGGACCTGGCAGTGGAGACCATCGAACTACTTCTACGAGAGAAATACGACAAAACGTAGAATCGCCTCGGACACGGCAAAATCATCCAGTTACTGAACTTGTCACAAGACGTACCTTACGTTCGACGGAACAATCTACGAGCAGGTGAAGGGAACGCCAATGGGTTCACCAATTTCGGAACTCATAGTTGAGGCGGTCCTAGAGCGGCTGGAGTCGAGGATTTTCCGACACCACAGACCGAAATTCTGGACCCAGTATGTGGATGACACCGTCGACGTCATCGAACGGGATCAGGTGCTGACATTCAAGAACATCTCAACGTCGTCTTCGCGGACATGCAATTTAGGATGGAAGAGGAGGAGGAGGAAAACAATAACCTGGCCTTCCTCGATGTCCTCGTCTGCCGCAAAGATTATTGTGGCCAGAAAACCAAAGTGTTCAGGAAAGCGACAAATACGACGCAAATACTGAACTTCAATAGCAACCACCCGATCAGTCACAAACGCAGTTGCGTAAGGGCACTATACCGGTGCGTTGAGACGCACTGCAGTGAAATGGAAGACAAGGTTGCTGAACTACAATAACTTCGACGGGTAATGAGAGTCAATGGAAACCCGCGCAACTTTGTCAACCAGTGCATATGAAAAGGACACCAGAGACCAAATCCAACCGGCCCCATATTTTGGCGGGCTCTTCCGTGCGTGCAGAACGTCTCGAAGGCCATGAGTCGTTTTCTCACTCCATTTGCAGTTGGGGTTGCACACAGGCCGGAAGCAACCATTAGCGCCAAGTCATGAGGTCGAAAGAACCACTGCCACGGCAGGACACGTCTGGAGTCATTTACCGGATCTGGTGTAGTTGCGGACAAAGCAATTATGTCGGAGAAACTGGGAGATTACTCCGTACGCGAATTGCCGAGCATGCAGCAGCAGCGAGGCGGGGAAACGCTAACTCTCAGGTGGCGGCACACTCGACGGGACCCGGCCATATTTTCAAATCTCAAGAGACTGAAATTCTCGCAAGGGGTGGCAACCGCGTGAGCCGCGAGCTGCACGAGTCATGGTTCTCAGACCCGTAATCCTTCAAAAAGCACAATGACCTCGCGGTACCATAATCCGTGCTGAGATTCTCCCTGGGCAGGAGGGCGCGGACGAGCAAGTATCACAGCGACAGTGAGTCAATTTGCCGAGCAATCGTCACACCAGCATCCAGCACGGATGACGAAATCAAGGCAATTAACGACTCGGACTGGGACCGACAGGCCACCAGCGCATCAATTACGACCACAGCGGTGATTGCGAGAACTGTAAATTGCAGTACACATACGGTCCACGGCAGTCACGTGCTATAAATACTGCACTCCTGGTGCCACCATCACCTTTATCTGCGAATGTCTCCGATGATGGATATGATTGAGAATCCGAAACGTCAGGTCAATAAATTTCTTGTTCCAGTGATCGCATCTTCATCTTCGGAACTGAACAAGACCTGCTCGAACAGAGACGTCCTTATTGTCAGGAACTTTAACGCCCACAATATCGACCGACAAACTTAGGTCGGGTCCATCGAAGACATTCGGACTACATTTCCTTGAAGTGACAGCAGAAAAACTACTTTTCCAGAATATGACTCACGGAACATGTGCTAGGACAGGGCAACGTTCGAATTGTCTCGACCTAGTGCTCGCTCGAGATGAGGAGACTGTGCTGGATATACAAGATCTCCCGCCAATGGGTGCTAGTGACCATATTATGATGCTCTTCGAGTAATTCATGTTCTTGCAACCTGATTTACCTGAACAATTACGAACAAATATCTGGAAGTGGGATTTTTCCATTATGCGAACGGAACTCTCAGCAATACCGTGGACAAACACATTGCAGAGAACAGTTAACGACTACTGGAGCACGTTCAGCTCCCAGGTCAAATGAATCGTTAATCTGAACTGTCCACTCATACGAAAGAAAACGTGCAACCGTCCGACGTGGATAAACCGGAAACTTCAAACAGCATTTAAGAGGAGAAATAAAGTGTGGAGACGCTACCGACAAACAGACAGTTCTGAAGATCTGAAGGAATACGTGTAAACGCGAAGCTCATAGACTTCGAAGCAACTATGAGCTGCGCATATTACAAAATTCCTTGGAGCATCCTAAAATCCTCTATAGTTACATACGTAATGGACAGAGCAATCGTGAACCGATTCCAGCGCTAGGATCCCAAAACGGAGTAATTGAGACAGATGACCACCTGAAAGCATCAGTCTTCTCCAATTTCTTTCAGTCGGTACTCACTCATGACACAACGTATACCAACGACAAAATCCCTCCTTTCCGGCATTGGATGAAAATATTTTCTTCTCACCCACCTTGATAACGATCGAAACAGGC